CTAACATTCAAGAGACGGCGATATTGAACCGACAAATGTCTTTTTCAGCTGACAAATGATAGGAATAATTAGTCTAAACAGTGCTTGGTACCTCTTAATTTTGCTTGCTTATGGTCTAAACACTCGTTAAATTGACAAACGTGCCCTCTCCTAGATAGCATCAATGAGGGATGGTTCTTTATCTCATAGACGCCAAAGTGTTCGACTTGAAAGCTTAATTTGTCAAAGAATACCCCACGAACAGATCTAATAGCGGTGGTGGATAGTTTTAATTATATAACCTTCTGAAAACCTGTAAAAAGCCTGTTACAACCATCAAAAATGCAATTTAACCTCTTCACTCGTTTCACCATTATATATTGGGATTCATTTTCACGCAACTGAGTCAAGAATTTCCCATTGAAAAATGAAAAACAGAGATTTTCTCTTAGAAGTGAATGATTTACATGCCTTGTGGCAATAATTTTATTTGAATGAACCGATAGAGTATTAATGTTAGAAAAAAACAGTAGGAATGATTATTTTTTTAGGACAGTTGTGTCAAGTTTCTGTTATAATATTTTGTTGTTTTATTAGGATTTTACACCCTACCATCTCATTACTTTCTCAAATATTGGCAATTTATTTGTGTCCGTCGCCGCTTACCACAGCGATTATTTGTATAAACGTCGAGTACACCTTAGAGAGCCCCTCTAGACAGATGTATGGTGCCCGTATATAACAAGGGTTTTGTTTCTTCCTGTACGCTGTGATAAAATCTTCACAATTTGAACGACTTTAGTGAATGAATCAATAAAGTTCTTTTCAAAAAAATGTCAAGTTTGTAATTTCAGTCGCAATCATGTTGAGCTTATCTAGACCTCACCGAAGGTTTTGGATCAAACTGTTCTTTGGGTATCTCTCTAAGTAGGAATTTTGTCCCTTGGAAATGGTTCTTAAACAGCTAAGTTGCCGGTAGCTTTTTACGACATACGTCCAATCTGTCGATTCTTTTGATGTCTTAACCGATAAAGTCAACAAATCTATTCTAAAACAGCGCTCCCTGATTCTCGATTTAAAAGAATTCCATATTGTTACAATTTGCCTTGAAACAGAAAAGAACATTTTTTCTCGAAATGGACAAACACCTCTCTTTTTTCATGCCATGTAACAAGTGAAGTGTCAAGTGATGTCAGTTTTTTTGATGAAAAAGGAGCACTTTTTACTATTTAAAAGGCAAACACATACACGCGTCGATCGATGGATAAATTTACACTTCAAAGTCGCCTTCTCAAGCCAGCTATATTGATATGGTATAAAAACACCATAGGCGAGTTATAGCCCGAGTGTGAGAGATAAGATGCGGACGTCATTTTAATGCCGAAATTAGTCATTCCAAACGCGATACAAACTTGTATAAAGTAAACAATAGAGCGAACATGCCAGTTTGGTAATTGCTAGGTAGAATGGACAGTTATTTTCTGTTATCAAAGTTGACTGACAACAGAGACGTTTGGGGCTTGGGCCAATAATAGGACATATATAGTAAAAAAGGGGTATTTAGTGACCCAATGTACAGTTGAACTTACTGTTAAATGTGTTAATTAGGGCGCATTTGGTTCACTATTCATTCTAACATAAACAAGCAAAGGGAAAAGGGAAAAAGAGCTTCAGTATACTTCATTAGTTTTATATTCAAACAGTAGTTATAAATTAGGTCTTTGTTCGCAGAGTCTTTTAGAGTTCCTTTTGTTCAAAATAGTCTTTTGTGGCGATACTTCTAATTCGAACCACTATTAATGATACTTTATAGCGCGGCAATAAAACCCCTTTTTTAATCGAAAACATAACGACTAAACTTCATATCATAAGAGACATTTTTATCAATTTAAAATCTTGTGGAGTCTTGTTTAATCAATTTGTTTCGTAAAGCCGGTCTTTTTGTGGACATTTTTTCCGGTGCGGTTGAGAAAATAATTCGATGGAAATTCTTCCTCAGTCCGCACGTGCGTCTAGTACAAACCTACTCGAATTATTTGAAAAAATAAATGTTTTTACGAACCTCAAACGTTTTATTGTTTTAACTTTTGATTATTGGTAAAGTTGTTGTTATTATTGTTAAAGCGAATTATAGAATATATAAGCAATGAATTTGGTGTAAATTGGAATATGTTGCCGAGAAAATGTTTATTTTTTTAAGAAGGGAACGGGTTTTTCGCATTGTCTGTTTAACGCGAWGAGAAAAGTCCAAATCATGCAGGCAAATGACAGAGCAATTTGGTTCAAATTGCAGTGTTTATGGYTTAAGCAGGTGAAGTTAACAGCTCGACATACAGTTTTACCATCGGCAAATGGGCTTTTTTGAATGATATAGGAAATGAGGGTTTGAGATCGTCATAGCCGCTTTAAAAACTGACTTTATGACAAATTTCATTTTGAAGAGAAATTGTCTTGAAATTGTGTCATTAAAATGTTTCGTCTTTGGCTTTTCTGGTGATTTTTTTAGCTTTCACGAGTGAACATTACTATTTGTTCGTTTCGCGGGGAGTGTTATGGACACAATAGCATTGCACTTTTGATGAATTTTGGTATATTAACAATGATAATACCATAGTTTCTGAACACAAAAGACTGGAGGCAGCTGCATGACTAAATCTAAGCTTTGAGAGCTTGTAGTAAGTAAGCAAGACAGAAAAGTAGCTTGTAGTGCGGAGTGAAACTAAATACGACCAAATCTTAGTTTTTCACAGAGACCACTTACAACTTGAAAAGAACTCAATTTTATCCTGCAATTTTCAGCTTCAAGTAGCTGGTTGAAGACAATTACCAATGTATAGATACTGCATGGTGGGAATGATTAAGAACTACCTTCGCGGCTAGTTTAATTTTCAAAACAGTTAATTTCGGAGGGAGAGTTGCTGCTGCTCTTCTGTTTCCTGACCTTTGTTAATAAAATTTCGATGTTTTTTTTTTCTATCCAAAGCGCAACCTCTTCGCAAGCGAACTTTTGTCTGAGGCGGAAGGATTTGTGTTTCTTCGGTGAAATAAAATTCAATGAAACGGGATAAAGAAAAAATGAATTGGACCAGATTGTTCTGTGGGCGGTACGTATCTTTCTTTTAGAAGTCTTTCACAGATCTAGGGAAAACACTGTAGCAAGTTTATGTTGGAACTGTACTTTAAACAATAAATATCCCGCTGTCCAACCTGTAAATGCTCATGATGACATCGCAACACGACTCCTCTTTCATTGAAAATGGAAAACTAAGAAGAGAGTGAAGTTCGTGTTTATAATAAGAGTAAGGCACGCAATATATGTTGCTTGTATAACAAGATTACCGAAAACTTCGTCTTGATTCTTTATATTCATTCTACATCAGAGGATAAACCCTGAGCTGTTCAGACTGGGGGAAATCCGGCCCAAGGCATCAAAAATTCTAATGTGTCCATTTGGCTTATTTTTCAAGTTGAAATAAGATCTAATTAGCATAGAAATTAGTCCAAAATGCGACCGATCTTCCACGTCGTTAGAAACATTCTCCTTAATCGATCTAAAATAGGAATTTTTTCGACTCTTGGTGCGAATTAACCTGAATATCAACATACAAATTAAATAGGTTACATAAGTGTTAATATTGAATTTTTTTGTGCCATGTATTTGATCCGCACAAAAAAAATTCTAACGTCTGAATATAGATGGGTTGTTTTTGAAAGAAATGGTAGTGTTAAGTACGGCTATCACAATGAATGCATGTATGAAAAGCCGAGATACTTCATTTTGGTTAATATGGAAGTGGATCAATAGTCTTTGCAAACCAACTACTTTACCCATTTACAATAGGGTTTGTTTCCTTGCCAAATGCCAACTTGTTTAACTTCAGGCGCTTAATAAGATTTGCGCGCTTCTTTCAAGACAAGTAATGAAGTATGACTATGCTGAAGAATAGATCTCGAAAACAACCATGAATCAGTAAGCATGTTTATCTGTTTAGAAAGTGACCTTCAATACTAATTTCGATTTTGAAAAATGTTACGGTTCAAGAAAACTGCTGTGAATTTGATGAAAATATTTTTAGCGCAAAGGGTTTTCACATCCGTTTGAAGATTTTTTTCCTATTTTTTATTGAAAATTACGCATTATAGCAGTTCATGTGTACAATACAACAAGATACCCAGTTGGTCTATGTATCGAATCATCTACAATTCATATCCTATTCATTGAAATATCTAACTTCTCTTGCAATAAACATTTAGAAACAGAAACTTCCTTGGAACATCAGGGAGCTAATTGCATCGAACTGTACGGTGTCGGCTCCCGGAAAAGCCATAGAGTTAGATTTTGTGACGTGCTGCGAGATACTAGTATCAATGTAATCGAATCTAATCAACTTTCCTTGGACTTAAGACTGATCATTCAATTTTAGCAAGCTAAGAAATTTGAAATGAATGAATTGTATCATTTTAAATATTTGTACACTCGCGTTTTCCTGTTGATTTAGCTCTCGAATCACGGCTTTCTGGGGGCATGTGAGGATATGCGGGCAGTAAACTGGCTCTTTTAACACCTCCCAATTGACTTAAATCTGCCCTTATGGTAAATTGAGAAAATTTAATTTTCCACTATGTAAATATAACTTAGCAGCCTTAAAGAAATTCTTTACTCTTGACTTTAAAATAAACTTAAACAAGCCATTTTTTAAAAGTGTCTTTTTATTAAACTTTGGGGTGAGGATAGCGGATGTTTAAAGACTATGGAAGGACAAAATCGCAAATGTTAGTTTAAGCAGTCCGTTCAGCAGGTTCTTTGTGAAATATCAAAATTAAAGCTAYATTGTTTATACTAAACGAGAAATTTTCATTAGTTGTAAATCGTTATTTACTTCAACGAAGTAATAAAGGTTGTTCCCAGACTGCACACTAAAAAGATGACCTCCCTATGCGCATGCGCGAGCAGCAGCAAAATAAAACAAGGGACTTCGCCAGGTGCAGGTTAGTAAAAGATTTTATGTTGATGTGAGTAGTATCTAACCAAAATCCTCTCCATCTTCCGGCTAGCGTGCCCCAGAAGCAAAGCTTATCATTTTAATAAGTCCACAGTTGACAGCCAAGGAGTTATTTTACTGCTAGGACAACTAGTGGCTGTGTTATTTTTCGCGAGGTAGTGTCCGGTTTTTGTTTAAGTAGTTTGTGCGCATTAAACTGATTACTAATTTCAAGTTGTGACAACTGAGACGTGAGTCACGATTAAATTAGCATGGAAGTTCCTACTTCGTGTTAAGTTCAGCTGGGGCTTTGTCATTTTGATTTCGAACGCTCAACACGCCGGACCTGGTCTCCGTCCTCGCCAACGTGACGAAGTTTTACTCGCAAATAGACAGTTGACTCAACTTCTGGCGGCAAGAATTCCATATTGAATTTCGGGAAGTTCCTTTGAAGATTTAAACACCCGAGTTTATGTTTAATTAGGGTTTTTAACGAAATTATTAGTTTTATGAAGCGTGGTGAACTTCTAAACACTCTGGGAAAGGCGCATATCTGAGCAGAACACTCGAACTTTATGCCAACTTCGACCCGAAAATTAACTTTTAAACAGACTTGCACTGGCGGTTGTACTGTTTAAGTGCCAGCAACGGAGTGAATCTGTTCCAGAACTAGTGGATTTGGTTACTAAATTGAGTTACCGGGCTTCAGCAGTTGGGTCTGTTTGGAGTTGTCAATTGTGCTCAACCAAGCGTAAAAACCGCGAAAACTTGAAATAGCAGACGGGATGATGGAGAAATTAGGCAGTCCAGCTTATATCCCTAACCCACTAACCTCTCCTGCTTTAATGGTTCTAGCATCAACAGCAGAAGCAACAAGACCATCAGCATCATCTCCAGGACCTTTGAGCGACTACCATGCAGTATATTCCTCACCCAGTAGCCGTTTTCTTGATGGAGAAACCCTWCATAGGATGGTCCTGAGTTCTTCTGCTTACCAACACAGACCATCACATCTTTCTCTGTATCATTCACAGCAAGGTACTGAACACTACTCTGAAAGAGTCTCTCCTGACTACAATCCACATTATTTTCAAATTCACTCCCATCTCGGAAGTGGGCTGCTTCATAAATCTTCTGGTAGTACAGGCTTGTTTAATGGTACAAGTGCATTCAGAAGAATCAGTCCACATGAACACAGTTTTTCATTCCACCACTTACAACACCAGAGAAATTTGATTGAGAGAGAACACGGTTTTGATAGTCTTTATCACAAGACCTCATCGCTAGATCTTGAGCAGGAAAGAATGAAGAAAGGGAATCTATCCCCTATTGTATCAGAGAAAGAATTAGGGGAATACAACAACAACGAACACTCACCTAATGCAAGCCCGCGCAGTACACACTCCAACAACAGCAATGAAATAAGATTTGAAACTGTTAAAGTCAAGCAAGAAAAAGAAGACGATAAAGAATTCTGTGACAACGAAGAAGCTAGAAAATGTAAGTACAGATAAAAAAACTTAATTGTATTCAATAGAGTGGTCTTTAATGTTACAAGTTGTGGTTAGAGGCTGGAATTTGTTTTTATTCAAACATTTAAGGAGTTAAGGGGCACTTGAAAGTGGATAAATCAGCAACCTCCTGACTGCTTCAAAACACCTGTATTAGTTAGAACTGTATGAAAATTAGCTTACACATCTACCGTCATTCATTTCTTAGGCTTTAACCAAAGTATCTTCAATTTAATCCTCTTCACTTCTTATCCTAAATACCAGTGGATACATACAACAAATGACTTAACCATGTTAAACTTTTTTAATTCTATTTTTATTTCTAATTTCTCATATTTCACTTCCAGCGACTCCTTTCAGTATTTAAGGCTTAACTTAATAAATTTATAATTAAACTTTGCTGCTATATTAGTCAAAAAATATTTGAATAGATTTTTGTATACAAAAAATCTCTAAATGTTTCTAGTTTTCTGTGTAAATTATCAGTAAAAGATGCTTTGATCAGTGTATCGAAGTGTTTTTATGGTAAACCTATTTACCTCCAAGTGAGTGTTCAATTTACAACACAATTATTCATTATATATATAGAATTTGACTTCCCTATTAAATGTTGAAATTTAATAACTTTGGGAAGACTATTTTTCATGTTAACTATATATTGAAATTTTGTGTGATTGTTTAACTTGATTTGACTCTGCTATTTTTAAACTCTATTCTCAATTTGTATATGGAACAATACTGCTCACTAAATATTCATTTGGTCTTTTCACAGCTCTTTTTTTGTGAGCATAAATTACTCAAACCTAATTTTGTCTTTTCTGTGTTGATTGTGTATAGTTGTGAAAGCAATAGAGTTCAAATATTGTATTCACATATAAACTGGTGGTCATATTCATGAATAACATGTTAACAGTAAACATTGGTCACTGTTAGAAATAGTTGATATGTAATATACTTCTACAAAAGACCCCTTACAGCTGCAATATTTGCATAAGAAACACAATACTTCAAACCTGTTCCTGTCTCCATGACAGAACAATACCACTTGGGAAAGATTTTGTTAACCTAAGATCTGTGTTTTCTCAGCTTTTCTCCCCAAAGAAGTCTTCAAACAATTTTGTTTTACCAAGTACAACAGAAATGAAGAGCTGTTGGCTTTAGAATGAAAAACTTAAGTGTGCTTGTTGGACTCCAGTGTGCATGTGATGTCAGTTTCTTGTCTCTTGCTACATAATCTGTCTTTCTAGTTAATGGTATATGAGGGACATATGTGAATTGACTGCTTTATTCTCTGCATCAATAATCAGCTTTTTAATATACTTTGAATACATTCATTTTCTTGATAAAAAACATAGTTAACCATACAATGAAGCATTCTTTACTACTTGTAAACTACAGTTTTTCATTTTTGTGCAGCGCTGTATTTTTGAGTTGATAGCAGTCACACAATAAAGGTGACAAAACTGTATGTATTTTACAATGCTTTACAATAGACTATTCAAGAGGCTTTCAGTGGATGCTCTATTGGGTGTGAAAACTGCACAACTCTTAATTTGTGCAAAATTATCTTAGATAGGTTAACTGTTAATATTGATGACTTTCATTAATACAAGAAAAAGGTCTTAGTAGAAGTGAAACTAAAGCCTTGTAAATTTGATATTGTGTAAATAACCTTTTTAGTTTTTCACTCACGTTTTTTACCTCTTTCTAATGATTCAGTATTTAGAATATTGTTATGAATGGTTTGTTTGGAGTTTGAGTTCTGATAGTAATGATCAAGGATATTATTGCCCATTCAGACTCTTAAGTCTTTGCTATTGTTACCATCAAACCACTTTTCTTTCTGTTCTGTGTATCGTTTAACAATCCATTTACTAGCCTCTTTATACCCTAAGGACTGTTTGGGAAATGCATTACCGGTAGCCAATAGCTAATGTGTATGTGAATCTCAAAGAAATTTTAGTATCCACAACATATTGAGAGTCAATACCTTTTCATTTTATACCCTTCAAAGTGCTAATATACAAATTACAACAAGCTGGCTTCCTTTCATGTGAATGCCTAAATAGTCTTCTATTCTGCTGGGAATAATTAGCAGTAAAAAGGATGTATTTTTCTTTGTATTTAGGGAACTAAAAGAGGGCATTTAGCAAGAAACTAGCTACTTTATTTTTAGAGCATTAAAAAAGGGATAATTAGGTTGGAAAACATTCATACATTCTTTAATTTTTAAAGCATCAACAATGTACATAATGTGTTTTTATGTTTTCTTTGGGGTTTTCAAGGTTTTTTTGTTTTGAAATTTTTCTTTTAACAGAAATAAGATAAAATAACTATTAGGATACTAAATTTCTACAGCATTTACAAAATAGATTAGTTCCAAATTTTTATATTTTTTTTTCAATTTTATTTTATAAACCATTCAGTTCTTCAAAAAAGCTCTTTGTGTGTACCAATATATTTTTGAAAATTGTACCAATTGAGATATTTAATTTATTTTCAATGTTTATTCAAATCATTTAAATTTTCATTCAAGTTTTAATTAAAACACTTGTTTTTCTTCTCTTTGTGAAGCATTCTTAAAAATGCAAAAAAAAAATACGTAAACAATAATTTTTAAATGTCATTTTAGTTTTCCCGAGTTCATTTGACCATGAAAGCTTAACAGCCGAGGCCATTGCATTATCTCCATGTAGATACASTGATTGAATTAACTTGTTTAACTCCAAATGGCTCCAATGAGTCTCTTACTATCAAATGTCATGAGCCATACAAGCTTTGAATATAGAGTTCTCAAAATAACCACTTTGAAAGCACTTTGCWGTCTTAAGTGTGTAGAGTTGTTTGGAAGGCTAATTGTTTTTGCTTGGCCTTCTTCTTGCCTATCAATCAACTTTACCCCATTAAAGTATATTAGCACTAGATATATGCTGTATATTATCATTGAATATCTTTGCCTATCACTCTTTCTTTGGTTTTAACCCATTCTGCATGGTTTTTATTTCCTAAAACACCTGTCTGAAGACAATTGAAGTCTATGTTTTAGTTTTCTTTTAATTTATTCTATTGTGATCTGGAGGGGTCTCTCTTGGCAGACTTAACTGTGTTAAACTCTCACTAACACTGGCTAATTGCTTGTGAAAGACATTGTTAACTGACAACCACCCGTGGTATCCATTGGTTACTGTAACCTTCAGGCTGGAATGTTCTCCAATTCGAGTTTTCTACATAGCATTTGTTTAAACACTTCAATTGTGCTTGTACATAGTGCTTTTAAGCAGAACGACATCCACACCGTAGGGCTGGGCTAGTTTTCTCACACTTGACTGGTATCCTGAGTACCCATCCACATGGCAGTCTAGTGGTTTAGAAATCTTCATAAGTCCTTCTCAATTTGTCTACTTTTAGAATTGAAAGCAAATTAATCTCCTCACCTGAGCAAACAAGAAGTGATTTAAAACACAAACCCTTATGAACAAGAATCTCTTTTTTCCTGACTGTTGGCACAATGTGTCTGTGCTAGAGAGATTAGCTCTTATGTTGGTGTCAGTCAATTGTGTGTTCAATTAACTGTGAGCACTGCTTTCTCCCCTAGTCTTTGTCTCAGATGTGTTTAATGTTAAGTCAATAAAGATTCACATGGATTTCTTTACATTTTGCACTTTTCTCAAATTAAAACTTAATTTATCCTTTAAATTCACCTTAGTTTTACACAAACTTTCGTTAAATGAATTCTCTGTGGATACAATCTAAGAGTTATTGCTGTGTTTTCCAATATTTATTACTACAGACAAATGWGTTTAACTAAAATAAATTATTTGTAAACTGTATTTTAGATCATAAGTAATATTTTCTTAAGGGAAATAGTTCAGAGCATTGTTTGTGTAGTCCTTGGYAAGTGTTCTTTGTTTCTGATGTCCTTACTGTTTTTTCTAATTATTTCTGCATTATGTCAAGGCCCATTATTTTTCATTTTTGAAAGTAAAACATGCCGGTTCTTATTGTACATCCTAACAGAAGTGTTTGTTTATTGAATGAATTGATTCTATGCAATGAAAAATGAAATAATTGAATAGATAGATGAGAATTKTATAGTGAATAAATGAATGAACTATAATGAGAGTTGCGTGGAAAAAAGAGAAAAAAGGAATAATTGATACATGAATGAAAGAATGGTGAATTTATAACTGGATGTATGGATGAGCAGAGGGCTAGGCAAGAACATGGAATTATGTAGTGAGTAATAAATGAATTTATTGTTCTTGTTGTAGCTTCTTTATCCAAGCAGTCACTCAATAAAACACCTTGTTGTCCCATCTGTGGAATTACAATACGGCCAGGTGAGATGGAAAGCCATTATGCTTGGGAAATGGACAGGATCCATGATGAATCAAGGTATGATAACTTGAGTTTCAGCTTGTAACATTTATTTATTTATTCCATGTCCATTTTGTAATCTGTTATCCAGTAATTCCCTCACCCCTCATCATTTATTCATCTCATCCATTCATGCTTCCCATCCTTTCATCCACCCATTCATCCTTCCATTTCCCATTCATTTCCCATTTATTTAGTAATTTATCCATGAGTTCTCATTTTTCATTGTTTTATTCTCATGTCCATTTATCTATTCTTTTCTTCCTTCCTTCATTTCATTTCTTAGCTTCTTTCCATGTTTACTTAGGAAAACCAGGAGAAGTCAAAGAGAGGCTGCCATCAATGCTAGGAAGGTATGCTATCATGTTGCCTGTTGATTGCTGACTGAGTGTCTGTCTTAATCATATTGTGTTGTTTTTGCAGCATTCATATTCCATGAATAAGAGAGTCAAGCAAGAGAATGATGTGCCTGTACCAAATGATGATACACCAGCCAGCACACGGCATCAGACTTATCTCAGGGTGTGTGCAAACAGAATGGCCAGAACAGGTATAACAGTAGTGCATTGTGCAATGGATGACTTATTATTACCTAGTATAGATTGATGGATGGATGGATGGATGGATRGATGGATGGATGGATGGATGGATGGATGGATGGATGGATGGATGGATGGATGGATGGATTAGTTGATTGATTAACAAGTTGGTTGAATTGCTGAGTTTGAATGATTGTCTGTATCCCTTTCTACAGGTAGAGCATCAAAACCTACAAGATCTAGAAGTGCACAAAGTAAGCTACCTAATGAACGATAACTAGATAACTGTCAATCAATGCTATAACAATGACTTTCTCTTCAGGTTCACCTGTAAATCCAGCATTCATTAATGATAAAGTAGAGGAAGGTCCTTCAGGATTCAAGTCTGCAACTTGTCCTGTTTGCGAGTCAGTCATCCAAGGTAGTGGACAGGAACTGAATGCTCATGTTGAGGCTTGTCTTAAAAAGGTGAACATCTACTTCTCTATCTGTCTGTCTGTCTGGCAGTTTATTTTTTATTTGTGTTTTGTTTTATCTAACCTTATTATCTCACAATACAGAGAGATGGCAGTGAGCAAACCAATGGCCAAGCGTCATTTGAGGAATATGAGTGGGCTGGACAGACAAGAATACGTGCTACAGCCTTATTAGAGGGAGGGTTTAAAGGTATGATTTCCTAAAATCGGTTTTCTGACCAATATTCTTGTCTTTTGGTTTTTCTGCATGCAAACGTTAAGAAAACAAGTTTAAACTAACATTCACTTACCATTATATGTCAGCTTCAGGATTTCAAACTGGAATCAAGAGAAAAGCTAATGAAGAAGACGATGGAGACTTGAATATTGACGGTGATGACGCAGAGGAATATGGCAAACCTCAGTATCCTTTTTAAATCAAGTTTTAGAGACCTTATGTTTTCTTATGTTTGTCTTCATACAGTCCAATACTAAATGTCTTCACAATAAACTTTCTAGTCAAATCTTTATATCAGAAAAAGAGCAAAACCATTAAGTTCATTCAAGTTTCAGCCTTAACCAACTGACACAGATACAGTGAGAGTGATGTTATACCWTGTACTGCAGATGAACCTGAGGAAGACCTTGCAAGACAAGCTCTTAGAGGGGCAGTTCTAAGGTAGGTACAACTATTGTAAGCATTGTATTGACACTGTCTTCTCTCTTGTCATTTTGCTTTCTGAGCCAAAATAATTTATAAACATATACAACACTTTTTGTWAAACATTT